TGGCCAGATATAGCCTCAGTACCACATACAGGTTAAGGCTGGCCGGTCATTCCTCAAGAATTACTGCGACTACACAGACAGAACAAGTGACCGCTGGCCCCTGCACACATACATCAACACACTCCACACGCCAAGACTAATCACTGTATGCATGCATACAAATCCATGACAAATGATCATATGTGTGTGTATGTGTAAGTGTTTGTCCTCAGTGATTAACATTCTCCAGATAATCTTGTGACCAAGGCCATTTTTCCCGGCGCTTTGAGGGGCACCACCCAGCGCTCAGCCTTGACCCTGAGGGGGTAAAGTCTTGAGTCCCCCGGAGGAAACACTGCTCATCCATCAACAGAGAAGGAGGCCCGTGCTGCGCGGGACCAACAGCAAGAACAGTGGCTGTTATTCTCAGGAGAAATTTGAGTTTGAGCCTCAAAACAACTTACATGTTCTCGCCAAATATAAGAACAAGAGAAGAAAAGAAAAACTCAAGATAAACATCAAAACCACAAATTCAACAAATAAAACCAGAACTCTGCTCCAAAGCACTGAAAATGACAATCCCTCCGTGTTCCACTTTCCATGCAGCAAATCTAGAAAGCCACATCTTATTAAACACACCAGTTAGGTGATAACTCTTGATATAACACGTATTTTCATAATAGCACATGGGCGTGAGAGAGAGCAGTAGAAAGTGTGGACAGCTTTGATCTTAGTTCCAAGGTTGGTTTTTTATGACAGTTTCCAAAGTTTGGCACTCAACTATGTAAAAGAGCTTTTAGTGTAGACAGTAATGATGCTTCCTCTGCCAGGAACCTTCAGAAATTGGATCTAAAATTGCACAAGTTGGATTGATTTCAATAATTGCTGCAGGAACTGTGTGATCTGACCTTTGTCTGCCGGATATTTGGTTGTTTCGTGTATACAATCTTTGGTTTTATGAGAAATATTTGATTCTGTAGCATATCTTGATTGTATGCTGTCTACTGTTCTTCATCTTGTACTGAGTGTTAATGCTGATTATCGTGACCAGACAAAAAAGAGGAACGTTTTTCAATATAAAAGAGTCTTTCATGGATAGATGAAAAGTTAAGACATTCTTGGAAACTAACACTTATCCCTTTCTTGTCTTCTCCTTATCTGATTTAAATACAAGTAAGCTACTTTTTTCTTTGAGGGAAAGATTACAGTTTTAAATGAAAGAGAGAATTAAGAAATGACAGATGGGGTGAGTGAGAGGAAAGGCAGAACTGGGGAAAAAAACGAAACATGAAAGAAAGGGAAACTCTCGCACCCAGGAGCCGATATAAACAGAGTTTAACAAGCACAGGTACCTGTTTCTTGTACAGAAGCAGGTAATTTAGCTTGTTAAAGTAATGAAGCAAAAGCAGAACAGAGCAGTCTAAATGAATCGAGGTGATTGAGTGTGGGTTTGTTTGTGTGTGTGCTCGGGTCCCGAAAACCAAAACATCTGGTGAGTGTTCGGCACTTCATGAAAACAACAGCAAGCGTGGCAGGATCTGCACCCAGTCATTAGAGCTGACGAGTGTTGCTCTGCTGAGAGTCATAATCATACATTTCCTGTGTAATACCGCCTGTTTAATGACAGACTGTGATTAGATCATCTGAATCTCGCTGCAGCCGCCCGAAACCACGGCAACACAAACTCAGGTATCGGCGAGCGAAATATATCAGAGTTTTATGTGTGTTTCAAGTATTATGTGTTTTTTAAGGTACATTATTACTAATATCTACTAAAGAGTGAAGGACAAGGAACAATAAAGTCAGATGTTCTTCAACAATATGTGAACTTTATAAATTCATTTGAATATGTCTTAAAATAACAAATGATTATGGAGTCGTTGATCTTGCACTTACCAAATTCAGTTTCCCTGATGGAGACCGTGTCCTTTATGACAGATAGTGTCATATTTCAAGTTTACAACAAGGCTTATATAAGTGCTTTTTCAGCCTTGAGTAGCAGCACCTGCAGCAGCGTGTGAACAGATCAACATGTTGAAAAGACACAGAGACCCCTCTCCCCCATTCCCATTGGAAATGACATCCTTGTGTTTACTGGAATCGATCTTAGGTCATGTGGTGAACGGCTACCTACATATTTCTTAATCCACATGCTTCTGATCTCGCCTCATTTGCTGTCACCGAAGAACGCACTGTTAGTGATTTCTGGCAAAATATTTACTCTGAGGAGTACAGGAAGAGGAGTCAAGGCAAGAGGGAATGCTTAAAGAATCAACCAAATCAAAAACTTAAGAAAGAAGAAGAAGAAATATGTGTTATGAGCTGCTGTGTTTCTTCACTTTTTTTTCAGCCAGCTTCTTCTCATATTCCACCTTTTCACCCCTCTCCCTCTGACAGAATAACTTCTCCTCTTGTTACACTCTGCTCTCTCTCTCTCTCTCTCTCTCTCTCTCTCTCTCTCTCTCTCTCTCTCTCTCTCTCTCTCTCTCTCTCACACAACCACCCTTTCCCCTGAATCCTATGACACAAACTCGCCTCCCACACACTCATCCTCACCAGCCTTCATCTCCATTTCTTCTTTGCCTCCTCACCTTTTCTCTCACCCTTAAGCTTGTCCTCTCACTACAGTGTAGATTTTCTAAAAACAGTGCTCTCTTTCACTACTACTTAACTGCGTCACTTCCTTCACACCAACACACACACAATCTTCCCCTTTTGCCCTCCTCGTTTCCTCTGTCCCTCTCTTGGTTCCCCTCTTGCTTCTATGCAACAGTAAAAACACACATACACACAGCCAATCGCACTTGTGCTGGGCCTCAGGCGCTGTGTGTTATGACAAACACACCTAATAGATAATGGGATGTGTCACACTCAGTCTGGCTCAATCTCACACACACACACACACTCACAAATATATACGGTACATACATGCCTGGACAAAGTCCCGCATTCATCAGCACTAAAACCTACATTTAAACAATGAAAAGGACATATACAAATGTGGAGCCTGCAGGAGCAAACAAGGCTAAAGCAGTTGGGTAAATATGTAATGAGTCAGGCTGAGCCGTCATAGGACTGCTATTAGCGGTGCTGGCACACGCAGGGCGAGTATAATGCCAGCTACTAAATCTCTTTTAACATGGAGACTATCACACAGAGCCCTGCAGAGACAAAGAGGAAGAAAAAAAGAGGGATAAAAGAGGGCAAGAAAGCCTGCCAAATTATCTAAAGAGAGGAAAGTCAAGAGGCCACCAGTGCCAACCTGGCCCCAAATTCAAGTGTCTACTTCCCATCCATGAGAGCCAGTTGTGGAAATAGCATGAGAGTAGGAAACGAGAGCGTAGTGTGTGTGTGGTATTTAACTTCAATCTTATCATCTCCTCCTAAGCTGTCACTCAAGACAGACCTGCTATAAGTGGTCCATGGGAATCAAATGACTTGGTCAAATGTCCCTCTGAGTATTTTTTATCGAATATTAAAAATGCGATGGATCAGTTTTCTGCGGTTTATTTCATCCGTCGTCCCTCCATCACTCACAAGCGATATCTCACATGGTTTATCGATTTTTATGAAACTCAAGGCGGAGTGACACTTTCCCACCGCTGAATTTTTAAGTAGCATTTTGGGAAGCCCAGAGATCTCTCACATTATTTAGTTTTCCTATTGTTACATAAGTCTTGGTATTGATACCTCTTTTTATCCCCGCTCCTAATACCAAACAATACTTTTTTGATACCTGAAGTATGTTAACATAAACATGTTGATTGAATGCAGGTGTACAATGATTTTGTCTTCATAATAAATTCAGTTCCAGTGTCAAGTTAGCTACATTTGTATTGAGCTGAAGCCGGCAACTAGCTGGCTATCAAACACAAACAGAAGGGATCAATGTAAGCTGCCCATAAACATCAAAAGAATCAGATCCATGCAGACTCTAAGTGAAGGACACTTAGCCTCACTACAACAACTTATAATTGACCAAGGAAAATGCTCCAGTAGCAGTTGTAACATTGTTGTACTTGCTCATAAAAAAAATGTTGTTGCTCTCTCTGGGAAGAATTGATTGATGTTCTTATGAGAGCCTGATGTTAATTTGAAGCAGCTTTAGCAAAAAAGTGGAAAATGTGAACGGTATTCAAGTGCGAGCAGCTGATTTGAGATATAGTGTCAGGATGTGCTTCTAAAAAAGTTCCGTTTTCTATGCTTTTCAATATTCCACCATAATAGATTCACAATATAACAATATATGAATATAGGACATTCAATAGATCTCAAGGTCAAACGTGATCACTAAAAACTCTTTATCTATGATATTCACTCTCAATCTCATTTAATTGAGTGAAATCAAGCATGGCATTCCTGTCTCAGTGAAACTTGAGTAACTGCGAGGTCAACCTGCGTTTATCACCTGAGTGTTGAGGATGAGTTGGCCCGTCTGACATGCCCGACCTGTCTGGGTTTCCAGCACGTACGCACACGTTTCTACTGATAATGCTCGCACTGAGAGGTATGGAGAAGGTCGCAACCCCAATCATCCCTGCAGGCCCGAGCCAAACAGGACATTACGATGATTTGCACGGACACACTTTTGTGCACACTAGGACGCAGATTTTGGCCCAAAGTTATACTCACACGCATGTGATATCAGTTGAAAAGACATGTGTATAGCTTCACAACGGAGGTGTGTAGCCTGGTAGTGACCCGGAATACACACACATGCCTTGGAGCAGTTGCAGTCAGTTTCCAACCGAATGCTCAAAGACAACCGGCTAGTGTTGGAGCTGGGGAATGATCTACCTATCAAATACACTCTGCTGACCTTCAACTCCTCGGTTACCGTCCGCCTAACTGCTCCCTTCAACACACGGCATGCATATAAATCACGCATAACTGGAAGATGAATAAAGTAGAGGGGCTCAGGGGATACGCACTGGGGAGCTGCTATGAACGAGATTAATAAAAGGGTATGAAATAAGTGAGATATCTGATTTCTGAGGTCAGGGGCGGGGGAGAGATCTTACCTGGGAGAAGCACCTGCGGTACTCCTTCTCCGGTCCAGAGCACCTATACACCTGAGCTCCTCTTCCTCCATCCCTGCCCGATTCCCCCCCCCATGTGTGGGGATGTGGGGGTGCTGCAGTGGGTAGATGTCGCCTGTGGGTGCGAAGCCTGGGTGGAGCTCCCTGTCTCTGTGAATGGAGGCTGGAGCGATGGAGAGGGGGGGAAAAAGGTGGGGTGACGGCAGGGGAATTTGGGCGGGAGAGAGGAGGGATGGGAGGAGGAGGAGCGGTGACGGAGTGCCAGTCAAAAGCGGTGGCGATTGGGAAGCAGAGATGGTTGATGAGAGCGAGAAAGGGGTGAGGGGGTGGGACTCTTGCCCTCCTGTGCTCTGTGTTGGTTTGTGGGGGTCTGTTAACGTGGTGGTGGGGTTGACCAATTGTTGTGGTCTTTGTGGGAAGTTCCTCAGCAGCAGCAAGCGCCTCCTGATGCCTAGCCGCCTGTCTATCTTCTCCATCACTCCCAGTCTCCTCTTCCTCTTTCTTGTTATTTTCTGCATCGTCTTCATTGAGTCCAGCTGTTTCAGCATCGGTGCCGTTAACAGTGTGACGAGCCTGCCGGTTTTGGCGATGCAGAGGAAGAGAGAACGGGACCCTGCCGTACCCAAATTGACCTGGACGGATGGCAGACGATCTGCGAGTCGAAAAGAATAACAAAACAATGAAGAATAAGAAGAAAGAGGAAGTTTAAAGAGATGTACAGAAAGAACAGGAGGCAGTGGCAGAGATAGGGAAACTGAAAACCAGGATACATTTGAGATACAGTTCATGTTAGCTGTACAACATCAGAAATCATGTCTGACATTAGCCAGCGGGCAGAGCAACGCAGTGCCTGGTGGTGTGACAGAACTAATGATGTAATAACACAGCAGATACCAGTTATGGGCATAACTCCAACTCCCACCACTCAAAAACAACTCTCTCTAATGCCTAAGCAATGTCATCACTTTAACTAATGGCCCCAGAATGAATCCTGAGCATTTGCTTGAAATGGTCCTCTGAGGATTTTATTTATATCTGGAATATTATATTTTGGTGTTTGTTTATATGTCAACGATCTGTAACATTTTCCAGAGATTACAGGTTTTCAACAAGGTCATTGTTACTTTTATTGCCAGCAAGGCAAATCTCACTTCCTGTGTGCTGTAGTCAGTTTCCTGGAAAAGACAAACTTAGCAAAGCACATGTGAAAGTTTCTGTTCACTGGAAAATTTATTGAATCAGCATTTTTCTATTATCCACTGACCATTAACCTTTAAACCTTAAAACAATACTAAACAAAGTATAAGAAAAGTTTGAAAATGATTCTTGAGGCCGACTGAAACTGGAGTTAAAACACTGGATATTCAATATTGACATTTTCTCCCAGACATTTAATTATGATCACAATATATTAATATATTAATATATATGTAAGACATTTTAAAGTTGAACAATTATTATATCTGTGATGTCTCACTCACCTCCTTGAGGTTAAACCCTCCCGATTGGCAGAGACAGACCTTCTGCTCCCTACAGCCCTCGCTGCTCCGGGATTGGTCGGTCTCCTGATGGTGCGTGCTGGTTGGTTGTAGCCCTGTGATGGAGCGTGGTACGGCGATCGGTAAACTGACACATGGTCTTGATTGTTTGGGTTGAATTCCGGCTGGTAAAAAGGAGGGTTTGGATTTGCCTCTCCCAGTAACAGGAGCTCCCCCCTCCTCCTCCCAAAAATAAGGTAAAAAAAGCGAGTTCCAGAAGACTCTTCCTCCTTAATCCTCTCCTCTTCCATCCTCCTCCTCCTCCTCCTCCTCCTCCTCCCCTCCTCCTCCTCCTCCTCCTCCTCCTCCTGCTCCTGCTCCTCCTCCTCCTCCTCCTGCTCCTGCTCCGTTAGTATTCCGATACAGAGACAGTCCTGGGTTTTGATTGGTGGAGATCGACGGGGAGTGATAAGGCTGTCGTTGCCCGGGGTAATGAGGAGGGTAGTAGGGGCGCACAGGTGAGAGGACCGGACCCCCGAGGCCCCCGGGCAAATATCCTGCCCAGTTAGGTGGAGAGTGGGAGAGGGGAGGGGTGTGTTGAGGTGGAGGAGGTAAACACGTCCTGCTCCTCTGGGAGGCGCCCACCCCGCAGGTTTGAGAGCAGCCAGACCACTCCTCCCAGTCAGACCACACCCCCTCCACAGGCTCCGCCTCAAACACCTGTCGAGACTGTCTGCCAGCCACCTGAGAAACACACACACACACACACACAATTTATAATTCAGACATTTGTTTTTTTATTCAAAGGTTAATTATAATCAGTGTCTTGCTTTGTTCAAACAAAAGTACAATTCGACATTAATTCAGATACTGAATAAATCATATGTAATAGAAAAATATCTTATTAAGAAGTAGGAAATAGAAAATATGTAGCTATTTGCTTGCAAATGACTGAAATACAAATTTGGTTTTAGTGATGTCACTTGACCAATGACCAAAGGTTCACTGTTATATAACAACCCAGTCTCACGGCATTTCGTGTTCACCAACACGATTTTTAATCTATTGATTCGTGTTCACCAACACGATTTTCCCCTTTTTTCGTGTTGCACAACACGATTTTAAAAGTAATGTATTTCTACTGCCTGCAGCACGTCTTTTTCTCCGGTCGGGTCGAGGAAGACCGGAAGCTGTGTGGTTCATAAAAACATGTTCTTACTCAATATCAAGCCACAGTTATTGCTTTTATTTGAAATCGTATAATTTCGGACTTTTGTTGCCGTCTGTGAGGAAAATAAATGGGGCTCAGAGCCTCAGAATACTGAAATCTGTATTTTTAAAATCTTTTTTTCCTTCTAATCTGTTATTCTTTTCAAAATAACACACTGTTATTTACTCACCAATAACACACAATTATCCTTGCTTTTATTTATTGGTTTAATTCCATAATCTCTGGCTTTTTTGGCGTCCTTCAGGAACTGAATTTCAAAATAAAAATAACCGGAAACAGACGTAGGCATTTCGAGCGATTACCCAGGATCCTCAGCTATGGTTTTAAGCTCGTTGTTTTAGCCGCAATGCATGCTGGGATTTGGTGTTTATATGATATGAAATCCGGAAAACATTTTAAAAGAATAAAATAATACTTAATTCCGAGCACTCTTGCTTTTCTCTTTGAAAGTCATCACATAACGGCATTGTAATACACGGTTCGGCTGCATTGTATATTACAGATCTGCCGTAGTTCTTTATTTATAGAGCCCTGATGAGAAGACCTTTGGAAAAACTGAGAAAATGCCGCCGAAACTGAATACTTGACGTGGATCATAAATATATTCAACAATTAAACAACATCTTCAATTTCTCTTCACACAATACGTCTCCTTGCAGTATCAACACTAATTCGGCTGACTTTTACATTTGATCTAATTCACAGATAGGTTATATTTACACCATAACGGTGCACAGCTGATATAAAAGGACTGTAGTTTTTAAAGATATTACTGATTTTCTTTGAATGTAAGAATGTAAATACTGAGTCTGAAATAGTATAGCAATATGCTGTAAAATTATGTGAAAGCATGCATAAAACTACACATCTTCAGATGTTGTACGAAAACAAAAGTGTCCTACACTAATAATACAAAGTTATTATGGCTGTGTGTACCTTGTGTGCACCGCCTAGTGGTTAAAGCACGTTATTGAATTATTGTGTTTTATTTGATTAAAAAAATATTAAGAGTACATACTTTCATAGGGGGAAAGTATAAATATAGAATATAAAAAATCAAGAAGATACTATAAGTGATCTCTACAATAAAACAGTTTAGTGCAGAATGTACAAATATATTAATAGGAGGAGGTGCAAAACAGAAAAACGAATTAACCTTTATTTAAACATTAAATAACAGATTAAGGTCTTCTTTTAAATAAGAAAAAAACTTTGGGGGTATCTATCTACAGATAAATATTAAGCCTGACAGAGTACTTAACGTCTAATATATTGCTTTCCTGCAATGTTAACTATGTTGAAGCACTTATTTTAACTGATATTATACATATGAATGATACTCTTATGTATGTAGATAGAATAAGAAATGTGCAGAATATGACAGTTTAATGGTGGAGGTACACACATATTGATAGATGTCTTGTAATGCACTGTTGAGGAACCTGTGACCCAAGTGTTTCATTCATTGCATAACTACACCGTAGTTGTGTATATGATATGTCAATACACCTTTGAAAATCTTGAAAGGGATGTGAAAAATAGCCATAATATACAGTCTTTAATTAACTATTAGTAGAGAATAACGAGTAATGAATATACTTTATTACTCGTTTCCATTCATGTCAATTGCAGATACATGTTTAGTCTTCTCAAGCACCAACTATCAAATATCTCTCCTGATTGTTGGCACTTGACAATCACCTTACCTGAATTTTACTCAGGTGTAACTAAAGTCTGATTTAAGGGTTGTTTATATTTCACATAATTAATCAGAATCTGCAAAGTAACTCAAATAAATGCAGTGGAGTAAAAATACCAGGTTAACCTCTGAATTGTAGTGGAGTAGAATTACAAAGTAACAATGAGCTGTCATGTGGGTATTAATGCTGCGCATTATGGACACAAGCGATTTCCCCCCATTTATTAATTATATGTTTTACATTTGATAACACCAATGTGTTTAATACTGGCAACTTCTAATTGTGGGAAAAACGAAAACGTTCAGTAGAGACGTCCCATAGAACATTTTGCGAAACACAATAGCCAGCATGTGTAGTTCTGGGGGGACGTTCGATTCCAGTTTTGGATAGTCTGGCGTGGTTTCGTTCCATTTCACACAGCTGTTTGACGCTCTGCGTAACCTTACGGGGACTGTAGTCCTAAACGATAGCTGGGGATTATGGGTAGTGTAGTGTCTTCGGCCATCCTAAACTCAGAAATGTTGACAATCGCAATGATGCTCGAAATGTCCCTTATAGGCCTACGTCTGTTTCCGGTTATTTTTATTTTGAAATTCAGTTCCTGACGGACTCCAAAAAAGCCAGAGATTATGGAATTAAACCAATAAATAAAAGCAAGGATAATTGTGTGTTATTGGTGAGTAAATAACAGTGTGTTATTTTGAAAAGAATATCGAATTAGAAGGAAAAAAATATTTAAAAATACAGATTTCAGTATCCTAAGGCTCTGAGCCCCATTTATTTTCCTCACAGACGGCAACAAAAGTCCAAAATTATACGATTTCAAATAAAAGCAATAACTGTGGCTTGATATTGAGTAAGAACATGTTTTTATGAACCACACAGCTTCCGGTCTTCCTCGACCCGACCGGAGAAAAAGACGTGCTGCAGGCAGTAGAAATACATTGCTTTTAAAATTGTGCTGTGCAACACGAAAAAAAGGGGCAAATCGTGTTGGTGAACACGAATCAATAGATTAAAAATCGTGTTGGTGAACACGAAATGCCGTGAGACTGGGTTGTATATAAACATCTCTGCTGAATTGAGTAAAAAATGATCTGTACTCATTCGTACGTTTGTACCCTTTAAAAATGTTAGGGCTGAATGAACACATAAGCCAGCCAAAATAAGTTTGGCTGGTGCTCCACAACTGACTGTAACTAAACTCTTCTGTAAAAATGTTAAACTGCAAGCCTTGGCAATATTTTAAAGAAGTACTTAACGTTGCCATTGCAAAATCAAACATTTCTGGAGGGACTTATTTCTTCACAGGAACTACTGTAAGTCCGCTGATGAGCTGAGTCTCGTGAGTTTCCTTCCTCTGAGGCCAAAATATAAATCCTCAGCCTCAGTCACCTGCCAGCAGCTTATACATTTATAGGAGCTAGTGTCATATGCATGCACTGTAGAAACGACAAAAACGGGGCTGATGTGCTTATTCATGTATTTGTATTTATATGTATCATATGTGTGAGTGCATTTACAAGGGTGCCAGGGCAGGCTTTGATCTCTCCCTCTGTGGCGGGGATAAATGTTTCTGCTCTCATTTCATAACTGAATCACTGGCCTGGCAAATGTGAGAGCTGAACAAAAGTTTCCATTCAGAAAGAAACCAAAACACAAATCTGCCCTCCACTTCTCCCTCCTCTCTCTCTTTAAGTGTGTACATATTTGTGTACAAGGGCAGGAATATGCAAGTAAACATACTGTACAAACTGTTTGTGGAGAGAGGGGGCAGGTGTAGGAGGCCACTCTTGTTTTTTGGTACACCAATATTGTTTTCTCCAGATGAAAAGATCTGATATAAACTGGCAGGAGTGTGGGAGAAAAAGGGGTGAGAGAGATAAGGGGGGGTGACGCAGACAGGCCTAATGACTCTGTGTATGTGTGTCTCAATTGTGTGTGTGTGTTTCTGGAGAGGAGGTGTGGTTTGTTGTAATGAGTGACATCAAACACACAGCTGCCACATAACTGGGACCATTAATGAGCTCCGTGCAGTGACCCTGCAGCAGCCGCCGCTGACCTCTGCAGCTACTGGTTCAACTCCTGGTTCAACTCCTGGTTCAACTCCTGTCACACTGTACCGCCTGCAGACAGCAGAGGGGCTGTGATTCTGCCCCCTCTGTTATTACATGTTTTAAAATAAATATTGTACTACTGTGGGCTCTCTCCAGCAGTGGGCCCCTTTATATGGTCTGTTTTAAATTCTCTCATAAGCCAATACTTACATGTCCATATGTACAATAAGCTCTTTTTTATGATGTCAACATTCCTTCACACCATACTGGCAGTGAAGGAGCATTTGACTTGTTTCCAATGGAAGACAAATCCACTCTTTTTTTCTGTATTAGGAAGAACTTTATTGTCGGATTGTTTTGGCTGCAACAGGGTCAACTGTTACTATCAGTGCAGCAACATAATTGTCTCCACTTGGGGGCAGCTCAAACGAATTGTTAACTATATTAATATATCATCACCTTATCATGAGTTTTTCTTTCACAAACCTCAGTTTTTTGTATCTACACATTCCTACAGCCAAGCACCAACACTATCATTCATTTGGAGTAACGATTATGGACACCTAGTTCATGTCAGTCTGTTATTCACTCTCTTTTAGCTCGGTTTTGGTCTACCCTAACCCTAACTCCTGAGGGGAATATCTGGAGCTGCTAAATGCTCCACTTTTTCACAAGTTACTCACAAACTGTGTCTGCTGTTTTGTGCTGGGCGTAAAGAGAACTGAGTTTTTTCAATCAGCCCGCCGCGGCCTAACACAGCGCTGTTAGTGAACCACACAGTAAAGCTGTGGTCAGACAGCTAAACAATATGAAACACTATAAAGCTCAGTAAAATCTGAAAGAGTTGAGGATTCAGATGATAATTACAAACTACTAGAAACGTATTTCACATGTTTGTAAATAGCCAATATTAATTAAAAAAACAATGCACTCAATAAACTATTTAGCAACTCAAACAGATTATCAGAAAAATGCTTCAAGCTTGTTTACTCGTGAAAAGATCTATGACCAACATTCCAAAGTTCAGAAACTGATATGTTGATTCAGCAGTCTGAGTCAAATCAAGAGGTTTTCTTCTAAAGTTGTTTTCTCTCTCAGCTGTGAAGGGATGCTGACACAAAGGGGGAATTTTAAACACTTAACACCTGCAAACTTGATCGACTAACTGATAAAGTCTTAGGTTAGCTTCGGCTGGACTTTGGCTTTTTTGCAAGAAACAAGACTATGGATTGTGTCTTCAATTTATCTAAGAGAAAGAGAGCAGCAAATTGTTAAAGCTCATGCGTCATCAGTGGTCTCCAGCCTATCTTGCCTGTATCACCCCTATCCATGGGCGTCGCAGCCATTATATGAGGGTGGGACAAGTCCCCCCCACCTTTTCAAATAATTAGTTTAGACCCCCCCACTTTTACTATGCGGAAAGTCCGTGAATCGGTCTATCCACTCGCCACTCTCTGTAGAGCGCTGTGTCAGTGCTTCATTATCAAATCCATTGCACTTGCTTATTATGAGAATGCCCAAATCAATGAAAATCCGTACCATGTTTTCACTGCTACTTTGTATCAAGGCAGATTCTCTGAGCTGTACACATGAGCCGTACACATGCTGCGTTTTTTGTGTAGCTGTGTCTTTAGTTGTAAAATTATGCGCGCCACAGTTTCCACGCTGCGAGGCTCCGGCGCTAACAGTTCTCCACAAGCGTGCTCCACTAGCACCTGGATATAAGGCGCTGTTATTAAAGAGGTGGAGGGAGAGTCCTCTCCTGTCAGACTGACGGCCCGTCCACACTCCAGCTTCAAAAAAAGCTTGGAGCTGGGCGTGTCTGAAGCTCGACCAACAACCAATCACATGAATTCCCGCCCCTGACACACAAGCAGCGTTTTGATTGGCTAGAGCTTGTACTGGCATATGATTTGATTGGCTGACGCTTCCACCGAAAGCTTGAGAAGCTTCAAAAACGTTTGCAGCCTGAAACGCCAGGAAAGCTCCGCTCTGCTTCCCACAATACAGTTCGGCGAAAAGTGACGTCACCCCATTCAAAGTGAATGGGCAGACGCGTTGGAAACTGTTTTTGAAGCTGTCGAAGCTGTAGTGTGGACGGGCCGTGAGAGGCTGATAACTACAGCTCAGTGAGGTAAAGGACTCTCTGAGAGGTGGAGGGAGAGTCCTCTCCTGTCAGACTGAGAGGCTGATAACTACAGCTCAGTGAGGTAAAGGACTCTCTGAGTGTTTAGATAGTTCACTTTAGTCTAAGTAGTGGGTCTCAAACGGTTTGGTAATCATTTATGTAAATAAGTATTTCCAAGGCACACCTTGGCTTTATATGATCATTATAGTTATAAAACATAAGAGAATAACAGGTATGAAATAATTCTAACTCATACTATAGGACAGTAACACAAAAATACAGTTTAAAAGGGGAGTGATTTGTAAAATATGCATAAAGAAAAAGTAAATCTGTTTACAGTTCTGTTTCACATGCAGGGTGTTGAGAGATGTATCCATAGATTTAGTCCCTAATTTTGCTCTCAAAGTGCACCAGATTGATGCATTTAATATAAAAAAAAAATCTTCCGGGGGAGCATGCCCCCGAACCCCCTGAGGTGAGTTTCACCACCCACCCACACCCCCTGTCAAATTATCCTACCCACATTGAGGATGCTTCCTACGCCCATGCCCCTATCTCTCTCCCCCAATTCCAGTCTGCCTCTTTACTATTCAATATATTAAAACGGCCAAAAAAACACCAATAAGAAGATGATCGCTTTGCGGCAAGTTTCAGCATTTGCAGCGTCCTACACTCTCAAAGAACATATGGACCAATCAGGATTTATGTCATGACAAATTATGAATTTTTGTTTTGATTGTCCCCCCCCCCCCCATGATGAGGCTGTTGTCAGTAGATCTTACTTTAATTGAGCTAATGACTCACCTTTCTCTTGGCAGCCTTGGTCACGGAGGTCGTGACCACCACAAAGCCCCACAGCACATAGAGCCTGCAGGGATGAAAGATGGAGGGTAAAAAAGGTGACAAATGTACAGGATGTCAAACACCATAGGGTGAATAGGTTCTTTATATAGAAGACATAATTGTTCCATGACCTAAATGTCAAGTTGGTATATGCTGTGCGACCTCATAGAGACTTTCATTGTTCTCTGTCCAATGGTCATCAACTTCTTGCACATTTACTCCAAATGTACATTCAGTTTAAAATCAGAAACCTGTTGACTGAACACCCTATCATATGTTCCAGTGACCTAACTGCACTTAAGCAACCAATTATGCCTCTTTCTTTCCCACTACAGGTGGCGTGAGGCCTGGCGGGGGTGAACAAAAGTTTATTTTTTCCTTCAATGTTCACAAACAAACATCTCAATCAATCTGGGGAAGCCTGTGAGGCGCTAACAAACTAATGGGTTTCCACACACACACACACGCACACACACACACACACACACACACACACACACACACACACACACACACACACACACACACACACACACACACACACACACACACACACACACACACACACACACACCAACCACACTTAATGAGTCACAACGTCCAAAATCATCTTAAACGGTGAGTTACTTTTTATTTGATGTTCAAAGTAGGCCTATGTGGTTTATGGTGTGTGGTGATGTGAAATGTCTCCTTTAATTTTGAGTCAGTGGCCTTAACCTGGAAATAAACTACTTTGCATGACCAAATGTTGCAGTGCGTGTGAGAAGGTAATTTTCCTCCTAACATTGATTCTTTAAAGCCTTTCCTTATTTTAAGGTGACATTCCATTCCAGTTTTAAAGACATTTAGTGTCTGTTTATCACAACAGTCTCCATAAAACACCAGCGACAAGTGTACTGGAAACAAGTGTAATACCATCTATTCATTTGCCAAGAAAGCAGCCTGAACATGATAGCCTACTAATCGCCTCGCTAAAATGGACAATTCAGCGCTCACCACGAGAACCAAACCATCACCACAATCACCAGTCCGCAGGCCACATGTAGGCAGAGTAATTGGTCCCTTCTTCCCAATGTGGTGTACCGCCGTGGTCTCTGGAAACTTCTACTACCCCAGACTGCATAACTACCCCAAAAAGCACAGACAAAGGTCCTGCACAGTCCGGCACAACAGAGCCGCTCATGCCGAAGTAACGACCCCCTACCCGTGTCCACGTTTCCCTGGCCGCTACAGTGGCACATTGTAGAATAAACTCAGAGTCGCGGGGACAAGGGGAAAGAGAGAGGGAGAAATAGATATGCATCAACGGGGAAAGCTCACATAAAATCTGCCCTGAGGAGAAATAATCTAACTTTAACCCAGCCTTCGGGTAAATTCCTGTAAGCACATCGCCCAGTGCGCAACAAGAGGTCGCGCTTAAAAGCCAAAACCTCGCAACAAAACATACTTAGTCAAACTTTTTTTTTTTAAAACGTATTCAAAGTTATTCCTCTCAACGCGCTCAAATGAGGATGCAAACCCCAGCATGTGGAGTTGTGTACAAGCGGACTGAGACGCAGCAGGTTGCATCTGTAAAAGTCAAAGTTGTACCTGAATAGTAAACCGAGCCGCATGCTCCTCCAAGAGTCTCCTACAGAAGTCCTCACTCCGCGACTAATCACCGCAATAGAATATCAGTCCAGGTTTAGTGATCGGTTTATGGTCCGTGTCGGTCCGAGCAGTCCTGAAAGAAATGTGATGAAGTCCTGCAAGGGCTTCTTCAGCTTCTCTCTCTCTCTGTCCCCTTCCTCCTGTCACAGTCACTCCCCGTGATTTTAGGAGTGGGAAGGGTTCTGTGTTTTTTTTTTCTCTCTTTCAGTCCGTTCACTCGACAACTTTTTTTGAGTCCTTATTATAAACTGGTGTGACGCCTGGCAGCCAGGGGGCCAGGGGGGAGAGAGAGGAGGGGGACAGGAGACACAAAATGGACAGATTACACAACTCTCTGTCTCTCTTTCACTCACATAGACCATACTCCCACTGCCCCTCTCTCTCTCTCACACATAAACACACACACCTCTATGGTCCCTGACTAAGCTATAATAACTCTCAGAGCCGCTTTCTTAGTTGCACAATCCAGCCTAAGAATGCTACATTGTACTGGGTCACACTGATCAGTAGAAATGATCTACTCATTGTCGGAACAGCCCTGAGCTGGCAGCATCTGCAGCATGGAAGTACAAAGCTGTACGGGCTTAACATTGTGCCAAAACAAACACTAATTGTTCTGTAACAAAGTGGAAAATTAATGTTGAAAGTTGAAAAGTATTTTCTTTTTTTATATATTCTGCATGAATGAAATATGGCTGTTGGCACTGGCAGCATGTAGTTGCTGTGAAAAATATATTTCTAATGATATAAACATGGCTGTGTTTTCTCATAACTGTTTAATCACATAAGTGCACAAAAACAGACATGCTCCATCAGATAAGTACCCGAGAGACAAGCCACTTCTGAAGAGGAATGATGACTGTGTGTGTCTGTGTGTGTTTGTGCGTGTGTGTGGGCTGTGAACTCTTCTTGGATGCGGTCTAAAGCAGATGTGAAAACGGTCTGACTTGTTTACAAAATATTTATTTGGTTGCAATCCACCAACCTTTCCAGCCAGTCAGGATCGTTTTCTAAAAAATAACATGTTGACCAATCACATTGGTCAACACCACAGGGGACAGTGGGGGGTAAAGAAGAGTGACACAGAGGTGGAGCGGAAAAAAAGCAGGGTTCTCCACGGGATAAAGAGCTTAACTAATTTGTAAAGAGCCTGATAATTGTTTATCTTGAGAGACTTCTGGTGTAATGTTAGTTAGGATTTTATCCACCTAATGTAATTTGTTAGAAAAAATATATTGTAAAAACCAACATTGTTGCACAAAGATGTACAAATAAGGACTGGTAGTGATGAATATGGAGGTAGGCAGATTAAAATGCAGTTTATTCAAGAGTAAAAGGACTTTGTGAGCTGTGTCAGTGTGGAATGGTGATAGGAATGTCAAAAAAATGTGTTAAGTGTTCATTTTGATTTGCCAACTTTGTCTCAAACCTGTAGAAGGAAGTCAACAGGAACTATTTAGTGTTTATTTTTGCTTTATTTAGTTGTTATAATCTTAAATATTTTGAACATGTGATTATAAATCTCTGTAATTTGTTGTGAAAAGAGTTTAAATGCATGTGCTTCTTTCTGGATCTGGTTTATTTTAATAAGTAATGGCTTTTAAGGCTGTGATGCTTGAGCACAGTTGCATGCATGTAACGCATCATCTTCATGCAGAAAAACACGAGAGAATAGCATTGAGATGATCAGTGAAGACAACAGAGGATGAAGGAAGAAGGGAACTTACAGTAAGAAGTCCATGAGAGAATTAGAGTCAGATGATATATGGGTTGCTGCGGGAAAATGAGGTTATGTGATTCTTAAACATTGTTTCCTACTGCAGAGATCACAGCCAATCTCGTCAAAATGAATATTTCCCACCCAGCTGCCATTAAGAAGAAAGGCAAGATGTTGGAAATATGAGAGAGGCTGATGAGTAAAAAGGGAGGGCGGGTCCGCAGTGAGTTATGGTTGGACGCATATTAACACACCCAGGGGTTGAGACGTCCCAGGGCCAAGCTGCTGCTGCTTTTCTTGGACAGGCATCCTACAACATGGACGCAGCGATGGTGACGGAGATTAGTGACTTCAAAGCCCGCTGCAATCCCACAATTTAGGACTTAAACCACATTACAAAGCGGGCTCATGATCTGATCTGTCAAAATAAAACAAGCTAATGTTAAAGGCGTATCAGGAATGACGATGGTAGATCCCAGAAGTTAATGCACATGCATAGACACATGCACTAGACTAGGGTGTGTGTGTATTATACGTGAGATTAGTGAAATGGATATCTCTGTACTTTTAAGCAGCATGTCTATCAGTAACTACAATTAGCCAGAGGTCATTGCCATGGCCACCATTGGCCCATGACCACTTATAGCCCTCTGCTCCACTCCTACCTCCGTCTCTCTCTGGATCCCTGAGAAGCAATAACCAACGTGTTGGCTTGCCGACACGCAACACTAACCACAAAATCTTGATTAACAAAATGTCTGTATCAAGCAGTCACCACAATACACAGATGTGTGTGTGTGTGTGTGTGTGTGTGTGTGTGTGTGTGTGTGTGTGTGTGTGTGTGTGTGTGTGTGTGTGTGTGTGTGTGTGTGTGTGTGTGTGTGTGTGTGTGTCCATGTAGCCGCAGATCTGTTATGCGACTCGGATGACCGATCTGAGTAATTGCAGTGCAGATCAGAGTAGCCAGGCCCCATGGGAGTGATACATCACTAGAAGACTCCTTGCATGTACACACACCCTGCCTCCAGAAAACACTCTCACACCCCGGCCTCAGGCCCGGACACAGCAGGCCCGCAACCCTTTTACTGCTAAAGTTAATGAGGCCTCCAGGCTTCTGCAGACCAGCAGAGGGTCAGGGCTGCAGCCTGTGAGGACAGCAGTGGGACTCAAATAGGTCAAACAGAGGGGAAGAGTACAAGGACCTGTGTGATGGTTATAATTAACTATTTTCAGACCACTGGACCCAGTAATCCTTGTTCATGTAACATTGTTCCTGTAATGATGACAGAATAACTCAATATAAAATCACTCAAGAGGAGTCAGGGCTGAAACATGCATCAACAGAGATGTATGTAATCGTCTTTGTGTAGGAGAGGGTGCAGTTGTTCTGTCGGTGGACCTCTTTGGTCCAGACTGAAATAGCTGAACAACTCTGAGATGGATTGCCATGGGATGTTGTTTAAATAAACTGTTCATGGTCTCTAAGGGATAGAGCTAACCCACTTTGGAATCCCCTAACTATGTCTCCAGTCCCACCAATACAATTTCGTTTTTTAGTGATATGTCTTCGTAATTATTTTATGTTTTGTCAGGATTGGCATACATTCAGGGGGCCCTAATGGATCCTAAGGACTTAAGTAATTCCCTGAATGTTCTTCTAACCCTACCAACATGCCAAAGCCTTCACAAATAGCTCTACTGGGAGGATAGGCAAACATTTGGACAGTTCAGATGGATATTTCTGGCCAAAACATGCTCTTTCAATCTGTATACCTCAACGGGGTACCATTTGAAACATTTACATGGCTTACTTTTTACTTGTACCTACAATTGGTGTAACGTTTATCATTTCTTTCTCTCTAGAAGCAGACTTCAAACAGGAATTGGATTACCAATGAGATGGCTTGGCGTGCAGGTCTGTACAACATATTGTTGGGACTTGGCAGGGGTGTAGGTCAGCTCCTCTGCCAGTATTTACCGACGTATATCTATCGTCATATTTACAATCCAGAGCATCAATCATGCATCAAGTAGCTGCATTCACATTGGGGTTTCGCCAACATGGAAGCAAAACAAAGAACCACGAAGGTTAAAGCACAAAGATGGATAATTTCTAAGGTTAAAAAGGGGTTTTCTTTAACAGAGATTTCTTTACGCTTCTGTGTAGTCTGGTTTTGTAAATGTGGCAGCCAGGTTGGAGCACATATGAACATTGCATGAAAGTATGGTAGCACATACCTTCACAAATGTCTTCACACTCTGCCTGTGCATGTTAAAGGACTGGCAGGTGTACAAATATGTTCAAGGCTTAAGGCAGTAGCATGTTATTCAACATACAGCACATGAAGGTGACCCATAACCATTTGGACAGTGTGAAATGCAAACTGTCTGTGATGCCTCCTCACTCATCAGAGAGTCCTGACCCAACAGTACAGACAGCCTGAGAAGCCTGGAGTCGACGCGAGAGGGAGACTGACAGACGGCGACACAATGGGAGTGAAAAGAAAGGCAGCAGCAGAAAGGGGATGAAAGGCGAATGTGAGAGAAAGAGGTAATGGCAGATTAGATGGGAACAGAGCAAGTGTAAAGGAGAGGGGAAGAGAAAGAAGGCAGGAAGGGGGAGAGATTTGTCAGGCTCAGATGGAGTCAATATTTGCTCCATTCCACCAATCCTGTGCCAGGGTCCGGATCAAAGCAGGGCGTGTGTGCTCTGGAAAGGGCACAGAGAGCCAGAGGAGAAAAACGGCGGACATCTTTACAGTCTCGTCTGAATGTGGCTGAGAAAACCAAGAGATGCCTTTTCACTAAAAGTATTTCACTTTAAAGTTATGTGAGACTGAAAGCAAGGGCCCCTCAGGTAGGAAGGTCGGTAAGGGTGACAATAAAAAGAAAAGGGAAACTTAGGGATAAAAGAAGGGGATGAGTGGAAAACTCTAATGAGGAGTTACAGTCGTCAGTGGCGAGAAGAGGACATGAGAGAGAGAGCGAGAGAGGTCAGCTCAGTCGGACTCTAATTGGCTGACGAAACTGCTGAAATAACCATGTTCCAATTATTCACACAAAGAGCCATTGTTGCCCATTCATAGAAGCCACTGGGCCACGTATGTACACATGACAACAACAAACAACAGGATCTATGTCTGTGTGAACAGGCATGTAAGATACGGCTTGGCACAGTGCAGCCATGTTTGGCATCGGACACACCGCCAAAAAGAGCTGTGGAAGGCTGCAGCTGGGTAATAAGTGCCTTGGTATGTTTATGGTCCAGTGCTTATAGACCACTGTGTTGTATCACAACCTGCATTTCAATGAACTGCTGCTGATGGAGAATTCCTGTCATGTACTTCACCACTTCATAATGTGTGAAAGTTTTGTTAAACTTGAAGACTGCCAAATGGTCAGAGACTCTGGATTTAAGATGATATTTGTTTTGGAGATCATAAATCAATGTAAAAAACTATTAACATTCTTTACGTGATGAAAAGGGCAGGAGAAAGGTTATTCTGTGTGGCTAAATCTGGCACATGGTAATGTTAATATGCATTCTCCCTTCTCAAATATATAAACAGAACATTTAAGTCACTGTGGAAGCAACTAACTCAGCTGAAAAGTTATTTAAATCCATCCAAAGAGGGACATGAACATCTGAAACAAACGTAGCAATTTCTTTGATACTT